CTTGTCATTATCCCTCTTTGCCCCTGCGCTCCAAAGCCCAAGGCTACAGGCGCAGCGCGGCGCGGAGCCCCCGCGACGCGCGCCGGTCGCCCCGGAGGGGTCCCAGCGACGCGCGCGGGTCGCCAACTGCGCGGAGCGTAGAGAAGTACAGTAGCTGGCTGGCTGATGGCGGGCAGGGATCCGGCCGCTGGGCAGAGCGGCGACGGGCGAACGAGGCGCCGGGCAAAGCGCCGCGCGGAGTTCCCGCGACGCGCGCTGGTCGCCCCGAGAGGGCCCCAGCGACGCGCGTGAGTCGTCCGCGGCGCGGAGCAAGGAGGGCTAGCTGGCTGGCTGACAATGACAACGGTCAAGGATCTGGCCGCAGGGCAGAGCGACGACGAGCGAGCGAGGCGCCGGGCAGAGCGCCACGCGGAGTTCCCGCGACGCGCGCCGCTCGCCCCGAGAGGGTGCCAGCGACGCGCGCGGGTCGTCCGCGGCGCGATGCCAAACAGTCGGGCAGTCGAAGGAAGGCGCGGCTCGGGCGGGCCGCTCCTCAGGTCAAGCCTCGCGGTTAAACTCAGTGAAGCCCAACTCCCTGGCAAGGGCCGTCGCCCCCCTCCCGCGCCGCTTCGCGCGCGCCGCGAACTGCCCCAGCCGTTTCCGCGAGCCCTCCGGCGGCCCCGCCAGGAAGAACTCGACGCGCGGCGCCCGCATGAGCAGGAGGTTCTCGTGGCGGGCGGCGCGCGACAGCAGCGCGTAGAGCTCCAGCCACCAGTCGTCGCCCTCCTTCTTGCCGTTGCCCGGGCACGCCGTTCCCTCGCCCCTCGCCTTCTCGCGCGGCGCGCCCCTGGCACGCCGCCGCGGCGATGGCCATGCCGCTCGAGAACGGGAAGCCCGCCCAGATGACCCTGGGCCCTGGATCAATCTCCGACGACCCTGGGGCCCGAAGACGGCATCCAGAGGCCGAGAACGACGAGACACCTCGTCGAACCTCGAAATTCGAAGTTCAGCGAACAATCGCAGGCGGGGGCCCGCCCGACGTCGTCGCCGGACGACACGCACTGACATCGGCGCGATCGCGCAGGTCGCGCGCGCACATGCGCCCGCGCACACGCGGCAACGAGCAAACGACGAGCCACCGGGCCAGCGACGAGCAAACGACGAGCCCAGCAAAGGACGAGCAAGCGACGAGCGAGCGACGCGACAGCGACGATCGAGTCACGGCGTCGCCGCTACACATTCTCACATCCCCGCTGCATCAGCCCCGACACCTCATAATACTCAGACAAAGACAACAAACGGAGGCCGCCGAGAAGGCGACTTGAAATTCCATCCGCTAACGTACGTCCCCCGGTGATCTGGGCAGACAGTTTTTTCCAGCTGCGGTCGGCCGCGGCGATGAGACGAGCGCCCTCCCCCAAAACTGGACAACTTCAAGCCTCAACCCTCCAAGCTCGGGGATCGAACCTGGAAGCGATTCTTGGAGGCTTGGAAGTTGACACCAGCACCAAGACAAGGGGTTACCTCCACAGGGAACAGATGATCCTAGATTCCTAGATTTCGGTGCTGGTGGTCATATCTCGGTCGCCCTGGAAGCCCGAATACTACCACCATCGCCGAGATCGGCATCGTCTTCCCTCGGTGGAGGCACACGGCCGATCTTGGTGTTGGTGTCAACCTCTGGGCCTGCGAGATTCCCGCCGCCGAGGCCGCCCGAGGGCCGCCCGAGGGCCGCCCGCCGCCGCCGCCGCCGACGGCCGCCCGCGGGCGCCCGCGGCGGCGCCCCGCGCGAGGCGCGCGCGGCCCGCGCCTGCGCGGCGAGGCGCCCGAGGGCGCCCGAGCCGCCGAGGGCGCCCGAGGCGCCCCGCCGAGGCGGCCGCCCGAGGCGCGGCGCCGCCGAGCCCGCCCGAGGCCGCCGCCGCCCTGAGCGGGGACGCGGCCCGCCGCGGAGACGGGGGGGCCCACCGCACGTCCGAGGACGCCCGCCCGCGGGCAGCCCGCGGGCCCCGCGGAGCTGTCGGGGCCGCGGTCGGCGCCCGCAGTGCCGACGGGAGGCCGCCATTGTTTTGTTCTTCCTCCTCCTCCTCCTCCTCCTCCTCCTCGTCCTCCTCGTCCTCCTTCCTCCTCCTCCTCCTCCTCCACCATTTTCCTCCCCTCCTCCTCCTCCTCCTCCTCCTCCTCCCTCCTCCTCCTCTTTCCTCTCCTCCCTCCTCCTCCTCCTCCTCCTCCTCCTCCTCCTCCTCCTCCTCCTCCTCCTCCTCCTCCTCCTCCGCCTCCTCCTCCCCCCTCCTCCCCACCATTTCCTCCTCCTCCTCCTCCTCCTCCTCCTCCTCCTCCTCCTCCTCCTCCTCCTCCTCCGCTCAACCGCGAGTGACGCTACTGGGGCCTTCGGTGGAGCTGGCCGCGGGGTGCGCCGAAATAGGTGCGGGGACGCATGCGGGCACGCCCGCTGGGAATTTCGGTAAAGCTCCCTATGGGGCCACGAAACGTGTGAGGGTGGGCCGACATGTGTGTGTGGGGGGGGGACGCATGCGGGCACACCCACTGGGACCTTCGGTGGAGCTCCCTATGGGGCCACGAAAACGTGTGAAATGGGGCGGCGCCGCCACGCGAACTGCGCCATTTGGACCGCTGGTGGAGCTCCCTATAGAGCCACGAAAACGTGTGATGGGTGAGATGGGGCGGCGCCGCCATGCGCAGTTCGCCATTGGAACCTTAGGTGGAGCTCCCTATGGGGCCACGAAACATGGTGTGTGTGTGTGCGTGTACCAAAATGGAGCGGCGCCACCATGCGAACTGCGCCACGGGGCCCTTCGGTGGAGCTCCCAATGGGGCCACGAAGCGTGGAAACGTGGTGAGGGGCGTGCCAAAATGGGGTGGCGCCGCCATGCGAACTGCACAGCTGGGACCCTGGATGGAGCTCCCTATGGGGCCACGAAACGTGTGAGGGGTGTGCCAAAATGGAGCGGCGCCGCCATGCGAACTGCACCACTGGGACCCTATATGGAGCTCCCTATGGGGCCACGAACCGTGTGAGGGGTGTGCCAAAATGAGACGGCGCCGCCATGCGAACTGCACCACTGGGACCTTAAGTGGAGCTCCCTATGGGGCCACGAACCGTGTGAGGGGTGTGCCAAAATGGGGCGGCGCCGCCATGCGAACTGCACCACTGGGACCTTAGGTGGAGCTCCCTATGGGGCCACGAAACGTGTGAGAGGTGTGCCAAAGTGAGAGGGTGACGAAAGGAGAGAGGAGGGGAAAGGAGGAGGGGGAGGAGAGGAGGAGAAGGACGCGGGGACCGCCTTTTCAAAACGAAGACCCAGCATCACAGGTGGTTGGGAAAAATGCAAGAGTTTTGCGAATGTCAACAGTTAGCGTGCCCGGTACTGTGTTTTGGAACGATTGAAAATTGTCAGGGCGCACCAGTTACGTGGATTCGCGGTGCTGGAGTGCAAGGGGCGGTGTTTGACCACGATTCGGGATCGTCAAAATTCAATAGTCAAACTGGTTCGTGGCGTTGGAATTCCGAGAATGGTGTTTTGGCAAACTCCAGGATCTTCAATCGGTTGACCCCAAAACGGGCACTTCCCTGAGTGGAAAAGAACATTTGTAGGGACCCACGCAGCGGGAGCTTAGAGGGAGGCAAACTTCGTTGATGAATCTTCGGTTTACACTGGTCATCCTCTTCCTCCTCCTCCTCCTCCTCCTCCTCCCCCTCCTCCTCCCCCTCCTTCTCCTCCTCCTCCTCCTCCCCAGACTTCCTGTCCCGCGCCTGGAAGTTCACCCTGCCTTACTCCTCCATTATCTCCTCTTCCTCTCCCTCCTATTTTTCCTCTTCGCCCTCCTCCACTACCCCGCCCCGTGTGGTGATGGCAAGTTCCCTCATTCCCCATGTTTTCTGTTTTCCTTCGTCTCCCCCGTCCTAAGGCACTGGCATCCTTCATTTTTCTTCCGTGTCGCTCGCTCCTCTCTTCTCTATATCCACCTCCCCTATCCTTATGCGTACTGGAACACACACACACACACCAACTCTGCTACATAGCCAGCCGAAAACCAGCAAATCTGGGGGGTCGCATCCGACCTTGAAAAAAACAATGCAAAGTGGACGTCTTTCTTTGCCACATGGACTCTATGTCGCCGGCGCTGCAAAATACGCGACGGAATGGGACGCGGCGCACGTCGCGCCCTGCGCTTCTCGCCAGCGATGCACAGGAAACGCAGTAGGGATGGGACGTGGAGCGCGTGCTTCCCATCAACTTGGGCTCTTCTGTCGTCCCCGATGTAACCATTCAGTCAATAGGCGCAAGAGTGCGACAGCGGGGCAGGCGCTGGTCGGGCCACGGGCGGGACACGCCGGGAACCGATTGAGGCACAGCAGGGGGAAAAAGGGCGGCAGAAAGCGACAGGAAGAGAGCCGCTCAGAACATGCAGTTCGTCGCGAGGGTGCCGAGGATGCAACAAGCATGGCTGGGAAGGGGTGTGGTTAACAGTACAGTTATGGCGTTATTCTTCCTCATCTCATTCTGTTTTTGGTTGTCGTCGTCGTCGTCGACGCCGTCAACGATATCGCCGCCAAATCGATGCTGGAGACGCAAGGACCAATGTTTTGTTTAGCGTTTTCCTGCTCGCCTACAGCCTCTGGAGGATTCAAGGGCGTCCAGGGGCGTCAGGGGCCTCCAAGGGCGTCCAGGGACATCCGGAGCCTACAGGGACCTCTGGAACCCTCTGGGGACATGTAAAGGCCGCGCGAACGCAAAACTACCCGTGTGCAGCCGACCGAGCAGGGCCCAAGAGTCCCTCCGTCGGCTTCGGCGGGTTGGCGTAAGTATCACCGCACCTCCTCCTTTTCCTCCTCCTCCTCCTCCACCTCATCCCCCTCCTCTTCCTCCTTTTCCTCCTCCCCCTCCCCTCCTATTCCTCCTCCTCCTCCTTTTCCTCGGCCTCCTATCCTCCTCCGCATCCTCCTCCTAATCTCGGGATCAATGGCCAACGAGCTTGGCAAGTAAAGCGAGGGCAACGACCGTATAGAGTGCCCCAGGAAGTTGCGGTACAGCTGCAATTCCTCAGGCTCGTCCATCTCGATGTCCTGGCGCAGTCGGCAAACGAGGAAAAAGCTGATTTGCCTCTTAAGCAATCAGAAGAATCCTCGTGCACGCAGGAGGATAGGAGGCGGGAGGACCAGGGGAGCGAGAGAACTGGAGTAGAATATGCTGTCTAAGAGAAGGAGAAGAGAGCTGAGGCCAGGGGGGGCCAGAGAAAACGGGCCAGGACAGAGGGAAATGAGAGCAAACCTCAAAAAGGGGCAGGAAGAGGTGGCACAGTGCATCATATATATATATGTATATATATATAGATATATAGAGAGAGAGAGAGAGAGACGAAACATACATATCCCGGCGAAAGACCCAACCACGCGCAGTTGTGAATATCGCAATTATGAACATAATCTTCGCCCGCGCCCCCTACGGGGCCAAGGACCGCGCGAGGGGGGCGCCGAAATGCGCGGCGGGGCACGCAGCGCGAACGAAGACGATAGGTCTGCGCGCGAGAGACTGAAAGCGGGTGAGTGCGAGCACGAGTGGCTCCGATTGTGAATGAGTCTGCGCGCGCGTGAATCCACGCGCATACATGTCGACGCCCATGTCGGCGCGCCCCTCGCGAGGATCGCGCCCTCCCCGTTCTTCTTCTCCCTCTTTGCCCGTGCGCGCCCATGTCCAAGGCCACGGGCGCGGCGCCGCACGCGGCCCCCGCGACGCGCGCTGGTCGCCCCGAAGGGGTCCCAGCGACGCGCGCAAGTCCTCCGCCGCGCGGAGCAAAGAGAGCTAGCAGGCCAGCGGATAGCGGGCAAGTCTCTACCGCTGGGCAAAGAGACGACGGGGGCGAGCGAGGCCCCGGGCAGAGCGCAGCATGGAGTTCCCGCGACGCGCACATGTCGCCCCGAGACGGCCCCAGCGACGCGCGCAGGTCGCCCGCGGCGCGAGGCCAAACAGTCAGACCGTCGAGAGACGACGAGGCTCGGGCGGGTCGCTCCTCAGGTCAAGCCACGCGGATGAACCCGGTGAAGGCCAACTCCCTGGCGAGGGCCGTCGCCTCCCTCTTGCACCGCACCGTGCGCGCAGCGGACTGCTCCAGCTGCTTCCACAAGCCCTCCGGCGGCCCTGCCAGGAAGAACTCGATGCGCGGCGCCGCCATGCGAGCTGCGCCACTGGGACCTTCGGGGGGGGCCCCTATATGGCCACGAAACGTGTGAGGGGTGTGCCAAAATAAAGCGGCGGGGCCATGCGGACTGCGCCACTGGGACCTCAGTTGGAGTTCCCGATAGGGCCACGAAACGCATGAGCCGCGTGCCAAAATGGGGTAGCGCCGCCATGCGAGCCGCGCCATTGGGACCTTAGTCGGAGCTCCCGATGGGGCCACGAAGCGTGTGAGGGGTGTGCCGAGATGGGGCGGCGCCGCCATGCGAGCTGCGCCACTGGGGCCTTAGTTGGGGCTCCTTCTGGGGCCACGAACCGTGTGAGGGGTGAGCCAAAATGGAGCGGCGCCGCCATGCGAGCTGCGCCACTGGGACCTTAATCGGAGCTCCCGATGGGGCCACGACACATGTGAGGGGTGTGCCAGAATGAGGCGGCGCCGCCATGCGAGCAGGGCCACTGGGACCTTAAGTGGAGCTCCCTATGGGGCCACGAAACGCGTGAGGGGTGTGCCGACATGGGTGGTGGGGGCGAGGATGATGATGAGGATGATAATGATGATGATGATGATGATGATGATGATGATGATGATGATGATGATGATGATGATGATGATGATGATGATGATGATGATGATGATGATGATGAAGCTGATGATGATGATGATGATGATGATGATGATGATGATGATGATGATGATGATGATGATGATGCTGATGAGGAGGAGGAGGAGGAGGTGGATGATGCAGATGATGATGCTGATGGATGATGGGAGATGGCGATGATAGCAACGATGGTGCTGACGCTGGGGAGAGGGAGGGGGGAGGGAGGAAGAGGAGTGGGACGCGGGGCGATGTCTTCAAAACGAGGACCAAACAGGAACAAAAACAGAGGAAGAGAGAAGCATCACAAAAGAAAGAGACAGAGAGCGAGGGATATATATCTATATCTATATATATATATATATATATATATATATTCATGACACCCTTGCAACAAGAATACCCTAAACTTGCAATAGGCGGCTTCATCAGAGAGCTAGTCGCGCAAGATGAGATTCGCTTGGCCAAAAACATGCCCAAACATACCTTAAATGAACATGTAAACGAATACAAGTTCAACACATGTTCGATACAATGCCAACGCAAGCGAAAGTGAACATAAGACCAGGCCCCCGGGGGGAGGCGTGAATGCGCGGCGCAAAGCGCCGTCGACTCTCGCCGATCAGCTCGTAGAGCCCACTGCTGCCCGGGGAGACTGGCCGCGCAGGCCCGAGGGAGAGAGGAAAAGCAATACTCATATAGCGTATAACACAGTTGGGGGAGTAGGG